TTCTCTCCCTCTCTCCCCCCCCCTTTCTTTCTGTCTGTCTTTCAGACTTTTTTCTTTCTTTTTCCTTCCTTCTTCTTTCTCTCTCCTTCCTTCCTTCTTTCCTTCTCTCTTTCTCTTTTCCTTTCTTCTTTCCTTCTCGGTCATCGGCTTTTCAATTAAACTGCCCTTCCCTGCGTAACTGCCACCCTGCGGAAACACTCAGAGCTCTTCCTTTGGGTTTTTGGGGGGTTTTTTGCAGTAAAATCTGCCTGTTTGCCTGATCGCATCAACTCTTTACGGTTCAAGGTGTCATTTGAGCGATCAAAACAAAACAACGCCCCGCTTTGTTTTTGTTTTTGTTTAAATAACTAAGCCGAAGATCTCAATAAGGACCGGCCTGGCATGGGGATACACCCGTCGTCCCATTTTAAGCAGCGGGCGGATGCGACGATATGCTGGAGAAGCCGCGGGGGGGGGGGGGGAACGTCCCACCCTCACTCTTGGGGAATAGAGAAGGAAGACCCCCCCCCCCCAATTTCCAGCCGTGCTCCGCACCCCTTAAACCAGCTGAAAGGGAGGCAGGCTGGCACCGCCGCTGGGCTCGCGGGCATCCAGGCTGCGTTTGAAGTGCGCGAGAAAGAGCTTCGGGGCGGAAAGACTGGGATAAACATTCGGGGGGCATTTGATGTCTCCGAAAGCTGCAGCGCCCATTTGATGTGCGCGCCGCGTCTCTGCCCTGCTTGGAATCCTAATGCTCGCCGCCTCTGGGCATCTATGGAGGCGGCGCAGGAAAGCACTTCGCCCTTGGAAAGGCCCTGGGTGGCCGCTCTCGGCCCCTGGTGGGGGTGGGGGTGGTCGCGAAAGATGTGGGTGGGGGGAGCTGGCACCCTTCCCGGAGATAGGAAGGGACGGGGGGGGGGGGGAGGAAGTCCCTGGGATTTGAGGAGGGGTGTTGGTAAGATCTTGGGAGGAGGGAGGGGAAAACCCTTGCCTGAGGCTGAGCCTGCTGCCCCCCCTCCACACGGGTCGGCTGGCATCGCTTCAGGGAAGCCTCATTCCTCCCTCTGCCCAGGGCGATGCCATTCCGGAGAAAGGGACTTCGACAGCGGCAGAATTTGGGCCCCTGGGACACCCCCCCCTTCCTTTTTTGTTTTTGTCACACACACACCCCGTAATCCCATGCAGGGTGTAGTCTGGGCAACTGCATGGAGCTAGCAGAGCCTTTCCTGGCCGGACGCCCTTCCTGTCGAGGTGGAGTTCTGTTCGGCGGGTACATTCTCATTGTACCCAGGGGCAGGGTTCACAAATTTTAGCAGTGGGTGGTCTGCCCGGTTGCTGGGTGGGTGTGGACACAGCGGGCATGGCCTAGCCGGTCTCCTATACCCTGGGCAGGGGTGGGTGGGTAGTTTTGCCATCCTCCCGGGGCTCCGAAGGCTCTCTGGAAGCCAGAAACGGGCCTGTTTCCGGGCCTTCTGAAGTGAGGCGAGAGCACCTCTAGGCCACCACTCCGCCCATTTCCATTCTACAGTGGACCCCCAGATTTGAATGGCAACTGAATGGAGCTGAGGGTTTTTACTGGCCGGATGCCCTTCCTGTCGCCAATGCGGAGTTTTGTTCAGCAGATATACATTCTCATTTTACCCAGAGAGACAGAAATATCTGCCTC